GGATTGATCTGTCTTCCTGAAGTTGTCCTTTGTTAGCTTTTATTTTTTTACTGCTTGTCATCCATCTAATTTCTTCCTTTTCTTCTTGGTGCGTATTTTTAAACAGGATCAGCGATGAACTTCGTAACTTTTTCCATGATGCTTCCAAGTCTCAACTCCAAGAGGTATTTTGCAATTATTCTCTCGTTCCCTAATAGTCTCCTCGAAGGTAACCTAGGAAGTCATCATCAATGACCTTTATTTGTTCAAAACTCCATACCTTGATTTGATCGGTCATGCCCTGATCAGATGTTAGCACAAGATCTAGAAAGCTGTTACCTCAGGTGGACTCACATGCTCTACGAGAATGGAGTCCTGTATCAGGACTGGAAATTGTGCTACTTCAACTTGTGATTTTAGATTCATACAATCTATTGTCTTGTGACTGAAGTCCCCCATTATAAGAGCTTTGGTTTCAGCTGGAACATTTATGACATTATGCAAATTTAAAGCCTCATAAGTAGTATTTAGAGGCACATAATTAAAAAATTAATCCTTAGGATTCATTGAGAGATTTGAGTTTAGATCTGTGAAAGTCGGCACTGATCAATTACTGTACTGTTCTGGTATATTTTGGCGAAACCTACGGCCAACGGCTCTGGTTACCATACATGAGTATATTAACAAATTAGATCCTTGCCAAGTTGCACTTGCGGGGGTTGAGCTTCGGCTCTTTGTCCAGCACTGAGCGACGATTATGACAAACCCGAGAAAGAAATCTTCAAGACACACATATAGGTGTTATTTATTTCGTCTATTGTAAAACAATAAGAGGCATAATATGTCTAAAATGTTATAATTACAAATGATAACCTATGGAGGAGGGGAAGAAAGCAAAGAGCTTCTTGAGGTTATCTTGAGATGATTTCGGGGCTTAGCGTCCCCGCGGCCCGGTCCTCGACCAGTCCTCCTTTTTGTTACACATCCCCCAGGAAGCAGCCCGTAGAAGCTGTAACTCCCAGGTATCTATTTACTGCTAGGTAACAGGGGGCATCAGGGTGAAAGAAACATTTTGCCCATTTGTATCCGCCTCCACCGGGGATCGAACCCGGAACCTCAGGACTACGAATCCGAAGCGCTGTCGACCCAGCTGTCAGCTGCATCAATCATTTGCAGATTTACAAAACATACTCCTATAGCTAAGTAATTTATAGTTAAAAGTAAAGATCCCAAGAGTCCCGACGCCTTCTACTTGTCTTACGTGTGATAAACATGAGGCGGTACAAATCTTAAGAGGTCTCCTCCAAAACAATATGCATCAACCATTTTTAACAGACAAAGTTTCATTAGCAATGATGCTGGGGCTCATAATGACACTTAGTTAAGAGCTACCTATATCGGCTCATCTCAAGCCTGACGCTAAAAAACTGATGAGCTTATTAATTTTTCCGTTAAGATAAACATTTATTGGCAAGTTACCATACCTTGAGGTTATCTTGAGGTGATTTTGGGGCTCAGCGACCCCGAGGCCCGGTCCTCGACCAGGCCTCCTGGTTGGTGGACTGGTCAACCAGGATGTTGGACGCAGCTGCTCGCAGCCTGACACATGAATCACATACGTCAAAAGCCAAATACGTCAGGGACAAAAGCCTTATTGGAATACAGAATATATAAAAGGCTCTCAAAGGGAATTGTATTTTAATATGTTATCAATAAGAGCGGATATCACAAACTTTACCCCCGTCTGCAGCGTCAACATTTATTACACAACCAAGAGTATATTTATAAAACATTGTATTCATTTATAAAACTGCATCACATTCCTTAGTTTGGAACTGAACGTTTAACATTCCTTACAAACTAGCAATAATCCAGTAGCTTACACCGAGGAGCATGTGATGCCACTCTGGTGCAGTTGTTTTAAGTCACCGTGTCTGGGGACAGGAAGCCTGGAGTTTATTCATTCACGTTTGACTTTTATCGAGGTCCCCCCCCCCCTCCCAAGGCCAAATTCCAGACCCCGGCCAGGATGTAACCTGGTCAGCTGACTAACTCTCCAGTACCTACTCACCACTATGTAAACACAACATTAGGTAAAAGGAAATGTGCCCAGCTATTTCTGTCCCGGCCGGGATTCGAACCCAACTTTACTACTGGGCCCCGTTAACAGCCGTTGCGTCTCCCCCTTCCAACACGACTCTTGATGATTCAGCTCTTGCAGACAAGGTGTTAGAAGAGTTGGAATGCGAGACGAATTTGGGCTCCCGTGCGACTCTGCTCAAACACTGAACCAAAGGCTAATAGTGATTCCAATTACACCCCTCCCCCCCCCCACTACAGTGCAACACTTCAACTCTCAAACCACACGACACAAATTTGTACTCCGGTTGATTGACAGTTGAGAGGTGGGATGAAAGAGGCGAAGTTTAATCCCTGCAAATCCCAAAGACCTTAATCTAACCAATGACCAAGGTTCCCATAGATCTTAATCCCAGAGTACCTAAGTAGGCCTGCTAAATAAAAAAAAACATGCTTAATATACTAAATACCAAAATATACTAACAAAAGCACATGACAGTGCCACAAGGTAAACCCGCACAATTATGCCACAATAGGCTTACTGCCACAAGAAACAAGAGCTCTAAGACCACCAACTCAACACTTGCACGACGGGGGACTGTTGAAGCCCCCGCCTCGCCGCCCTCCAGCACCCCGTAACACACCACCCCAGACACACAACACCACCCCAGACACACACAACACAACACCACCCCAGACACACAACACCACCCCAGACACACACAACACAACACCACCCCAGACACACAACACCACCCCAGACACACACACAACACAACACCACCCCAGACACACACACAACACAACACCACCCCAGACACACACAACACAACACCACCCCACACACACACACAACACAACACCACCCCAGACACACATACAACCACCACAACACCACCCCAGACACACCACACAACACAACACCACCCCAGACACACACAACACAACACCACCCCAGACACACAACACCACCCCAGACACACACAACACAACACCACCCCAGACACACAACACCACCCCAGACACACACACAACACAACACCACCCCAGACACACACACAACACAACACCACCCCAGACACACACAACACAACACCACCCCAGACACACACACAACACAACACCACCCCAGACACACATACAACACAACACCACCCCAGACACACACACAACACAACACCACCCCAGACACACACACAACACACCACCACCCCAGACACACACACAACACAACACCACCCCAGACACACACACAACACAACACCACCCCAGACACACATACAACACAACACCACCCCAGACACACACACAACACAACACCACCCCAGACACACACACAACACAACACCACCCCAGACACACACACAACACAACACCACCCTAGACACACACACAACACAACACCACCCTGTCACGAATCTTATTACGATTCTGCCAATTCTCCCGAACCTCGTATTATGTTATTGTTTTCTCTACGTAAATATTGCTGTCAGTTGTATAAGATTTGTGTATATAGATATATATACATTATATATATATATATAACATAGATAGCTGGGTAGTGTGTGTAAGGTTTGTTTTGGTGGTGGATGTCACGTGAAATTAGCCGTGTGGGCGGTTGACAATATTTGGGAATGGCCAGGGCGATTGTTGGCAAATCAATTGCCTATAGTTTTATATTTATTTATTCCCATATGTGGTAGCCGTAATATTTCAAGGAATGTGAGACCGGTAATTACAACTCTTAGTTAATAATGTTGGAGTTTAGGGCTGACCTTTGTAAATAGAATGTTCACAATGTTCATGCGAACGTTAATTGGTGTTTGGGTAGACGGTTAGTCGACGTTGGGCCTGCGGACCACGTCCTGGGCAGTAGAGTGGCGGCTGCGGTCGAGTGCAGTTGTGTTTAAGCTAAGTTCTTGGTTTTTGTTATTTTAAGCCCATATAAATATTAATTTATCTGGATAGACGATTTTAGTGTATTTATGGCTTACTCCATATTCTGGTGATAGTGCTCAGGTCTCAAATAATTACTTGCATTCTATAGTATTACATGCTGATAAATATTTCTGGCTACTATTTATTTAATGGTTGTTAAGTTGTCACCCTTGGCAAAATATATTGTTCTCCCGTTTTTATACAGTGATTAATTATACCCCTAGACACCTATTGGCATGGCAGATTGTTATTGGTTCTTTACACTGTGGGGAGAAGAACATTATTTAGTCTCAAGGGTCGTGACACACCCCAGACACACACACAACACACCACCACCCCAGACACACACACAACACACCACCACCCCAGACACACACACAACACACCACCACCCCAGACACACACACAACACAACACCACCCCAGACATACACACACCACCCCAGGTAGCGGCATGATAAAATATAGAACATCCAGCAAAATAACTTGTTGACTCTGCTCTAACCCCCCCCCCCCCCCCCCCCACACACACTCACCGCCACTGTATAAATCATTAGGGCGCTGCTCTAGCTCCACCCTTCCACTATTGTAGGGGGAGGAGGCGCACGTGGGGACACTAGCAGGGGGGTCCTGGTGTATAATGGGGGGGTGGTGCCCCCGGGCCCTGGCACCCACAACATCTCTCTCTCAGGTCCTGATAAACCCCTTCCGGCAAACACCATTGGACGAAACATTCTGGCACAGAACGAAGACTTTGGTATTCCTATAGCCGCAGTGATGGTCGTCTTCAGTAACGGTGAGCGATGCCACCTCACACACACACAGTACACTAGGCTCGTCTATCCTAACAACGACCACACACCATTAACAGCCATATAATGCTTTCTAAACACGTTATCGAAGCAAAAAAAATAAATTACAAGCATCTGTAAATTGCATCGTGAGAACGCGAGCGAAAAATTTCCTGAACATATTTTCTAATGAATACACCTATTCTGAGCTCACCTATCAACGTCAGTTACCAATTTAGCGATGCTTGGGGGACTTGGTAAGTGGCAGGTCGATACCAGCGTTCTGCACTTGGTTATTCTGCTGTATGGAGCCAAGCTTACACTAGCGAGACGAGTAACTGTCACCCACACCCTCCCACCACCATGGACGAGTCACTACTGGCTGTGTCGTCTGACTGAACAGCCTGCCAGGCACACGTGGCCAATCACGAGGGTTTGTTGTGTGTGATGTAAGGGTGAACTTATGACGTAACTGAATCCCCGGTCTCTTATTGGTTCAAACATCTATGACGTGTTACTGCTCCGTTTTCTCTTGAGTTTATTTAAAGAGAAACTTCACTGTACCATCGTCTAGGAACATTCTTCGCACATATTAATATTAAAACAGAGCAATGCAGTTCTTTCGTAGATTGAAACTTGAGCTGGTTTGAAATATTCACAAGTTACCTATGTTGCGAGAGACAACACTAAGAAAATGTATATTGGTAAGTTGTCACGTTAAAAGGCCCTGAAAACATATTTACATCAATACGTTACATAAATCCTATTTTTATTAACATAAAATAACTTGGGCAAAGCATATAATCAGTGGTCATCTTTTTAGGAAAACTAAAGTATAATAAAAATACGGAGGCAATCAGTAAGGCGGCGGGAGGCCAGTGCTTGCTCAATACTGGGGAAACATTGACTTTCTCGAAGGTTCGAAAATTTCCTCGCTTGGTACATGGAACAATCTCTGATTATTTATATATATATAATATCTATATATAATATATATATATATATTTATATATATATTATATATATATATATATATATATATATAAAATATATATATATATATATATATATAAAATATATATATATATATATATATATATATATATATATATAAAATATATATATATATATATATATATAAATATATATATATATAAAATATATATATATATATATATATATATATATATATATATATATATATATATATATATATATATATTTATATATATATATATATATATATATATATATATATATATATATATATATATATATTATATATATATATATATATATATATATATATATATATATATATATAATTTATATATATATATATATATATATATATATATATATATATATATATATATATATATAATTTATATATATATATATATATAATTTATATATATATATATATATATATATATATATATATATATATATATATATATATATATATATATATATATATATATATATATATATATATATATATATATATATATATATATATATATATATATATATATATATATATATATATATATATATATATATATATATATATATATATATATATATATATATATATATAAAATATATATATATATATATAATATATATATATATATATATAAAATATATATATATATATATAAAATATATATATATATATATAATATATATATATATATATATAAAAAATATATATATATATATATAAAATATATATATATATATATAAATATATATATATATATATAAAAAATATATATATATATATATAATATATATATATATATATATAAAATATATATATATATATATATAAAATATATATATATATATATATAAAATATATATATATATATATAAAATATATATATATATATATATATATATATATATATATATATATATATATATATAATATATATATATATATATAAATATATATATATATATATAATATATATATATATATATATAAATATATATATATATATATATATAAAATATATATATATATATAAAATATATATATATATATAAAATATATATATATATATATATAAATATATATATATATATATATAAAATATATATATATATATATATAAATATATATATATATATATATAAAATATATATATATATATATATAAAATATATATATATATATATATATATATATAATATATATATATATATATATATATAAATATATATATATATATATATAAAATATATATATATATATATATAATATATATATATATATATATAAAATATATATATATATATATATATATAAAATATATATATATATATATATATATATATATATATATATATATATATATATAAAATATATATTGAACAGCTTGTCTTATATACTCGCATTTGGGTGAGGTGATATATTGCTACAGTTTTGGATGAGGTGAACAAACTTTTGACCAACACAAGACAGAACACGGTGCAAGGGGTATCAATTGGATAAATGAGCGGGAAGAATGGAAGTAACTGCAAAGGGCCTATTGGCCCATACTTCCTCTTGATGCTTCTATATTGGTACGGGGTCTTGAAGTGGGTAGAATATAGTTGTGCATTAATTGGCTGTTGATTGCTGGTGTTGACTTTTTGATGTGTAGTGCCTCGCAGATGTCAAGCCGCCTGCTATCGCTGTATCTATCGATGATTTCTGTGTTGTTTGTTAAGACTTCTCTGGTGATGGTCTGGTTGTGGGAAGAGATTATATGTTCCTTAATGGAGCCCTGTTGCTTATTTATGCATTGTTAATCGCCTGGAAAGAGATGTTGTTGTCTTGCCTATATACTGAGTTCTTTGGAGCTTACAGTTCCCAAGTGGGCATTTGAAGGCATAGACGACGTTGGTCTCCTTTAAGGCGTTCTGCTTTGTGTCTGGAAAGTTTTTCATGAGTAGGTTGGCCGTTTTTTTGGTTTTATAGTAAATCGTCAATTTTATCTTCTGCTTTTTGTCTGTAGGGATAACGCTCCTATCAACAATATCTTTCAGGACCCTTTCCTCCGTTTTATGAGCTGTGGAAAAGAAGTTCCTGTAAAATAGTCTAATAGGGGGGTACAGGTGTTGTGTTAGTTGTCTCTTCAGAGGTTGCATGGCGTTTCACTTTCTTTTTTTATGATGTCTTCAACGAAACCATTGGAAAAGCCGTTGATGACTAGGACCTGCCTTACCCTACAGAGTTCTTCATCGACTTCCTTCCATCCTGAGCTGTGGCTGAAAGCCCGGTCGACGTAAGCGTTGACAACACTCCTCTTGTACCTGTCTGGGCAGGCAGTTAGAGAACATGATATAAATGATGCTGAAAATACTGCATGCCATACTGGGCTCACCATAGCCCGCGCTATTTGCCCCGCTCCTGTGCCAGGTAAGTTACGGGCTCACCATAGCCCGTGCTACTTGGAACTTGTTCCGAGTAGCTGAATCTATAACAACAACAACAAACTGTATGCCAGGCTGTGTAGATCTACCACCACGCAAGGTAGTGTGAGGATAGGTCCAGCAGGTAGAGCACAAGAGAGTATTCTGCTGGTGGTGGTTGGCCGGCTTCTATTTATATGGGACTTGACCAATGTAGGTGGCGCTGGTGTGGTAGAGACAAACTAGCAGTGTTTGTTCCCGGCCGGTGGCGTGAGCTGTGGCCACCAGGTGTGCTGGGGGTCGCGGGTACTGGAGAGTAGCAGGGAGTAGACTGCTGTCTAGACGTCTGAACACTAGTTGTTGTTCTTGTTGTAAATTCTTAAATACGCAGACGTGGTGTGGTAGAGTAGGTGATGATGGAACAGGCCTAATCTCCTCCCAAGGAAGATTACCGTGACAATATAAATAAATAGATATATTTAGCCTCGGTAGTACAGTTGGGGTCGTTTTCCTACCGCTTGTTTACTGTCCTTACACTAAGTGCCGTTCTTGTTTAACAAATTTTATACAATTTTATTCCACCACAGTTGAGGCAGCTGATAGCGGTAAGGTTTGTGACGTTATCTACCTTCACTTTATCAAAAACCAAAAAATTCATGCATAAATGTTCGGGCAAATAGAACATTGGGATTTATTTCTCAACAACAGGGTTGTTGATTTGTGTAACTAATTATCGCATAACAAAATAGAAGTAGGATACCTTGATTGTTTCAAGCGTAGGTTAAACATGTATATGAATGAGATTGTGTGGATATAAATAGGAGCTGCTTCGTATGGGCCAATAGGCCTTCCATTACGAGTCCAGCGCTTGGGACTCGTAATCCAAGGGTCCTAGTTCGATCCCCGGCGATGGTGGAAAACAAATGGGCAGAGTTTCTTTCACCCTGATGCTCCTGTTACCAAGCAGTAAATAGATACCTGGGATTTTGTCAGCTGGTACGGGCTGCTTTCTGTGTGATTTTGTGTGTGTGTGTGTGTGTGTGTGTGTGTGTGTGTGTGTGTGTGTGTGTGTGCGTGCGTGTGCGTGTGCGTGTGCGTGTGTGTGTGTGTGTGTAAAAAAAAAAGTTGATTGTTTAACAGTTGAGAGGCGGGCCGAAAGAGCAGAGCTCAACCCCCGCAAGCACAACTAGGTGACTATTGTATTCACTAGGTGAATACAATAGTCGTATACAATGTTGTATACATAGTTGTATACAATAGTTGTTTACACTAATTTATTTCTGGATTTAGATTTGCTCATAAAAAAAGAAAGATTTACTCATCAATGCTGTCTAAAATTTACTGTCTTAGTAAATGCTTGGTAAATGCATCATTTACATCATTTATGTATCATAGGTACATCATTTTGACAATTCTGACATTGGCACTGATGGTAACAGTTTATTTCATTTGGTCTCCATCTCATGTTGGCCTCCGAATGCATGATAGAGCTGATAAGTTAGCTAAAGAATCTGCCTTTAAAGGAGACGTTGAGTGTAACCTTAGATTGTCTATGAGCAATCTGAGAGCAGCAGTACACCGAGAACTTCAACAAGATCTTGTAGATCTGAGGCAAAGTGAAATTGACACCAGTAATTCCATCTATCATCATACTATCATGCAAGAGGAGCCACACATCTATGGATCATCTAATAAAATCAGCATACTTCTAGATGTTACTACAGCTCGGCTTAGACTCGGTTACAAGTATCTCTGGGAATTCTCATTATCTGCCGATGTAGACCTGACCAAATGTAAACTGTGTCAACAAAATTATTCGCACACCCTCCGTCACTATGTGATGGAGTGCGAAAAGATACGTGAATTCAGAGACAATTCTATAACGAATGTTCCAGCAATGTGTACATATTTCATTCAAAACGATCTGCTATCAGAAATTTTAGCCAAATATCCCCAGTTTACTAACTGTA